AAATGGCTAAAAAATAAATATAAGGATTGAAAAGATTACACTATTAATCTTTATAAAATCAGCTGTTGCACACCAGTGTTTTAGCTATCATATCAAAGCCTACACACTCAAAAAGACAAACTAAAAGTAAATTATTACCTAAAGTAAATCCCTATGCAGCAACTAACAGAATGTTTGCATTTCTTTTCAGTGATCAGTTGCCACTCTGTACTAAAACCAGGACTAAATTAAACTCTCCCCTAGGTGATGTTGTTAAGCATGAGTTTCCATTCTCCTTAATATGGAAAAGTCTGTGAGCACATATGAACACATTTTTTCAGAAGTAGGTAATGGTAACTTGTTGGAGTATGCAAGTTACATTCTCTTGCCTGCTTTGTTGACACAATTTGATGCAAGCTAATTCTGGTGCCTAACGTTTAAGAGCAGATGACAAAATTTTAAGAGAGCTTTAGTGTGATTTTAGCATTTAGCATCTCCCTCTACCATTTCTCCATCACCGTTTACTGCACCAAGTAACTTCTCTCTCTCGAGTGTTGATCTGTGAACAACACTGTGAACTCATCCCATAGAAAAAGCATGTCTCAATGAAAGCACATCTTGATTTATTTGACAGCTTGAAAAAAAGGAACAATAAGAAGAAACAGAACAGAACCAGAAAAAAATGAAGCGAGCTGAGGGAGGTCCTGGCATTTGTTACGTAGCATTCACGAATTTAGAACAGGTAGGCTGAATGCCAAGAGAAAGGAGGTCAGTAAGACCATGTGACTGCTTAGTAATTAGACTTGCTCAATAGTGCAATTACACAAAAATATTAGTTCCTGATTGTTACATGACTGTTTAAAGAGAAAAGTTAATTAGAAAGCACCTATATATTAAAGATTGCTATTTACCAGATTTAACACACATTTGTTAATATAAACAGTAACTGGTGGCTCTGCAAAGTGACAATACTCTAACAGGAAACTAAACCTCCTGGTTTATTGTATTCTTTCACCATTCTTCCTCACATAGATTGTGTTAGTCATAGTTTGACAGAGGAGAATTTTGCCCAGGGCACCAGGACCACAAACACTTGGTGTCAATCAACTCAAATTAAGAAAGGGCCACTGTAAATTCACACCAGGAGGTTAAATTTGACTCACCTTCCTAATACTGAAGGGCTTCTGCTCCAAGTCTCAAATAAAATGTTTTTGACTAATTTAACACCCTACTCAACAGGCATGTAAGCACCAATTTTGCTCATAGCCAGCAAGTGAAAAAGAACATAGAATGTTTTATCATTAATTAAGGGTGTCAAATGAGACTGGCATATCAAAAAACATCATCATAGATCTTGTGCATGCTTATTGGGAATATATATGTCTGCATTGTTTAAAAATATCTCATTAAAACCACTGAAACCTCAAGTAGATTCATACCAAACTAGTAACTGTCCATCTAAATAAAAATTTATTGAAAGGAACCATAATAAACATACAGCTTTAGCAGCCAGTTTTTCTATAAAGTTACTGTACTTTTAAACTTGGAAAAAAACTCCAATAATCTCACAAACCAGGCAGCAGGGTTTTTTACCCAAATACATGTGCAGCATGTGCCTTGAGGGTATTTGAGTGCCAGGAGATTGCTTGAAGTGCTTTGGACAGGAGAGCTGTAATTTGCCCCAAACTCAATCCCTTTAACCAGCAACTAAAGCCAGTCATTTTTCTTTGAATGCAAAATGCAGTGGTAGGAGTAGCTGCCCTCTAAAACACTGGAAATTGTTAAAGTAAACCAGCCAGCAATCTATCACACACAAATGTACTCAAGGACTCTATTAGCTAATGATCATATTACACAGTCATTGAAGAACCAGGGCAATAGCACTGAAGACATGAACTTCCTTCTGCTAGAATCAAAGTTCACATTTGTCTATCATTCACTAACTCAGAAAATACAACCAAAAACTGCTCAGCATTTCAACTGCAGGGCACATTAGAGACCTATGAAGTGTTCTTAAGACATGTGATTTCCTTAACACTTAGAATTGTGCCAATTGTCCACATTCTTTTAAAACTTAAGTAGCTGTTCGTGTTTCATCCACAAAATTAAGACTTCTGAGCTTCCTCATGAATTCAAAATGTTATTCAAAAAATTTATCCCTTCAAAACTAAAACTATTTAAAAGTATGTCATAAAAGAAACAGACACCATGAATCTCAGGTAAGAGAAGTATAACAATTATTCATGTTATTTTTGTCAGTGAAAAGGAAATAACCATCAAGTTAAAGTTCACAAAAAGCATATTTAGCATTTCTATCTCTTGAAAACAAGAATGTAAAGAAAACCTCTCAAAAATTGAAAAAAAATAAAACCCAAAACCTGCAGAAATAAGTCATCCGGTTGGTAAAGTATTTAATAAGTTAGGATACAAATTATTAAACCTGAAAGGAATAATCCTTCAAGTGAACTCAACTGAAACATGAAGTATCTAAACTTTGTCATTCTTCCATGACCTAGTGTTAAGCCAAGTTTCATTATGCTTGTTCCATAATTAGGCAACTTCTCAGCATTCTAGTCCGGGCAGGCAAGTTCACGAGCATTTCGAGTTCCTGACATTGGAGGGACAGATGATACACAAACTCTACTGCATTATCAACCGTTTTATAAGGGTAACAATTTTCAGATTCCTAGTGATGTTTTAACTAATCTCACATGACAAGCAAACACATAAGTCCTATTAACCTCTGCACACATTTAGCATGCAAACGTCAGGCACAACTCCACAGTAAAGTTCATTTTTATATCGGGTAGGAAGAAGAATTACAACTGGCTTGACGGTGCAGGAACAAATCTGCATGCTCCGGAAAGGGACACCAAGCCAGTCAAAGTTCAAGAAGCATTTAGCCAACGCTCTCAGGCACACTGTGGGTTTCTTGTGGCTCTTCTATGCAAGGCCAGGAGCTGGACTCCACGATTCTCGTGGGTCACTTCCAGCTCAGGGTATTCTGTCATACCGCTCCATGCAGGAACGCTACTCTGAGAAAGGACTTGAGAGCTAAGCGAGCAGCTTCACAGTTTTTCCAGGACGGAGTCGCCCTGGGCTTCCCGGCTGCCCAGAGTTCCTGAGATGGAGCAAGCCCTCCGGGCTACTCCCCACAGGGTTTTCCCCGGCAGCAACCCCGCTCTGTGCACCAGCCTTCGGAACCGCACGGAACCGCCGCCCTCGGGAGCGACAACAAGCGCTGCCCTCCCCGAGAAGCCACAGCCCACCGCCCCGCACTCTGCCACGGGCTTCCCGGTCCCTTCCTCCCCGTCCCTCCCACGTGCGCCGCGGGAGCCGCAGCCCGGGCCGGCGCAGGGCTGGATATGTAACACCGCCGGGCCCGCGGGGAGGGAGGGNGGCAGGGGAGGGACCCCCGGGTGCGAGGCCCGGCCGCCGGTGACTGCGGCAGGAGCGGCGCTCGGGGCGGGATGGGCCTGCGGCTCCCGGGCTGGCTGCAGCAGAACAGCCGCCTCCCGCCTCTCCGCCCCCAAGCGGAGTCCAAAGGGTGGGAAAGGCACGGGCCGAGCCGTGGGAGAAGGCTGTGATGGAGACCCTTGTTTTGTCTGTGCTGAAAGCACCGCCACTTAATGACCAGTGGTTTAAATAGTGCAGTGCGTCCTTAAGCACTTTTCAAATCTCTCTCCTTTCCTGGATGTAAGAAAAAGCTTTTTCCCCATGAGGATAGTTGAGCAGTAGAACAGAGGCCGGCTGGGCTCCATCCATGAAGGTTTTAAAGATCTGACTGGACAAAGCAGTCTGGATCCTGCAGACCCTGCTTTGAGCTCTTGAGGTCCCTTCAAACTTGGATTATCCTAGGATCCTCTATATTATTTTCTAGAAAGCTTTCTGTTGGTCTGGCATATATTTTATAATCATTTACTTCATTTCCACCACTAATGCAAAGCAGGGATTAATTATTTAGTAAGTGCAGAAGTGCAAACATTTACTGTGCATTAATCTACAAAACTGCAACCTCTGACCAGCCCAGATTCCTTCACAAACCATTCAAACCCTGTCTACACTGCTATCTTCTAGGTAGATACCTACTCTTCTTGGTTCAAAGTTCAATCTAGGCATTCAAGAGTTTAATTTAATTTTTTACAGCCTGCTAAGTTTCCTATCATGAGAATGGTAGTAGTCAGCAGTCATACTGTTGCCATCTTTACTGAAGGATTTTGTGAACAACCTAGCATGAGTAAAAGTTTGAGTTTGCTAATTTTAAAAAAGTGATACTTTAGTCTCAAAACACACATTCAGAGATTCACATGGGTGATAAATCAACCAGTTGATCCTTGTATCTCTTTCCTATAGAAGATTTACACAGAAGTCTCATTAAATAATAAACTTACAGCACCCCTTTATTTCTTCTAACACTTGGTGGTGAGAGGGTGCTGCTGGCAGTGACAGCAAGCATCTTATCTAAGCTGGCTCAGTTTTTCTTCTTAATCTCTCAATTGCTTTACAATCCCCACAGCAATCTAAGTATGTAAAAAGTTACAGTGGAGTCCTACGCATTAGAACATGCATTTGATCCAACAAGAGCTTTAAGAGAACTCTGGATTCTTGAAAGCAGTTACATACCCTGGAAATGTGATAACTGTCATCTATGGACTTGGAAATACATCAAATCAATACTCACATCTTCTTGGTTTCTACAAAACACCAAGACATTCAAATCCATTCATGTTATTTTGCATGTTGTAGTTTGCATCGGGCTTTTTCACAAGGGCTCCTGAGTACCCCAGTCAAATGAGTTTTGGCAAATAAAGTTTTCCTTTCTTTTACAGTATTCTGTGGTTCTCATGATCCTCACAAACAAAAGGGACAAATTTACTATGATGCCAGACATTTTTAGAAAATGTAAAGCTTATTTTAAATGAATGTAACAACCATTTCTATGTCAGATTTTAGAAAAGCACAATTTACTATATCAGAATTTTTAAAAAGTTCTATAATAGTAAAAATTACAGTATTTTAAGGGACTGCATTACTCTCAAAGGAATTTTGTTTAACAGCAGGATTATACATTGAAGTTAGTCATGGTTATTTTTCCAGTTTGTACTTTGGAAATATTATTTGACATCCCAAACAATTTTAACAACACTTCACTTTGCTGGCCACTTCTAGGTAAATTGAAGCATTAAAGAAGAAAACCCTGATCCTTCAGAGATTTGATTATTCTGACTGGACCCACTAAACTCAGTAGAACTACTCAGAGTGCTCAGACACAGGCAGTTGTGTCAGTCCTGTGGAGGAGAGATTTAGTTTGCAGCCCATCTTTCAGGACATGGAAAGGTCAGCACACAAAACATCTGTGACTTACCTACACTTACCTACACTTCCAGGGTTACTGGGAAAAAATCACTTGTTCTGTTGTGCGGCTTGGGACAGCATTTCTTAAGTCACAAGGTGTAGGAAGACAAAACCATCAGCCTTGGGGTTCTGACACAACCAGCACATTAGGCAATTAGTTTTGCCTTAGAGGTGTGAAATAATACTAGAGAACAAGTTATCAATAAACAGCTTCTGTTAATAACATAAGTGTGCATATAGGAAATTATGTCATATTCTGTTAGTTTATGATGTAGTAACATAACAGTAGTCCACCTCAGAAGCAGAAAAAAAGCAAAGGTACAGTTTCTTGAGATGAAGGATTTACATCTATAAAATATTTAACTATACCTGGCAACTAGAAAGAGGACCTACCACTAAAGTTCTCTAAACAAACCACATTATTTTCTTAGAAGATGGGCTCTAGTGCAGCTCTGTGACAGGTATTGAGGTTTGTTGGACAGGAGATTAGACTGCGTGATCATAACAGTATTTTCTCTCCTAAAAAAAACAACCCAAAACCAAAACCAAACAACACCAAAACAAACAAACAAACAAAAAAAACAACCGAAAGTAATTTAGCAATGCTCAGGTAGGTATTTTTTGAAGCATGCTATAGGGAGAGGTGAAAGCAACTGTCCAAATGTTCTCACTTTCAGTTTGAGCAGTTTTAAGCATGTTACCAGCAGCAGCTATTTGCAGGAGTATTGCAGAGATCAGCAGTTCTCCCTCTCACAGTCAGTACTTCCACAGGGTCGTTATGAGAACACCCCCCAGGAAGTTAAAGATACACTTGATGATATCTTTCTTTGATTGCTGCAGCTCCTTTGCCCCTGCAGAGCAAGTGACAGTGCATGTGCTATTGGTGATAACTGGGCAGTGAATTTGGGCAAAGGTGAGGTGTGGGGTTGGCCCTGTGGACTCCAGCACAGCCACACACCTATTCCACAAGGCTCTGCCTACAGAAGAGACCTGGAGGCAGAAATAAGGCATTGGTGCAGGGAGCAGCTGTAGCAAACTAGGTGCTGGAAGAGGTAGGTGAAGGCCAACAAATGTTACTGTGTACTTGCTTCCTCCCCCAAAATACCATGGTGCTTATTCAAACTCATTTAACACACTTGGCTGGTGAAAAACACTTACATAAAGGTTCATGTGACTTTTTTTTCCCTTAATTATATAACGAATGATTTCAAAATGAAATTATGCTACAAACTGCTGCTGATGCAGCACTGCGTGGTGGGTCTCTTGACACATGAAAGAACAACTCACACTCCAAATAATGCTTGAGAAGTTAAAGCAAATACATTCATAAGAACTAAGAGATTCAAGCTGCCATTTTTTGTTAATTTAGTGGGATTGCTGTCAAATGAAGTTGCATGAATCATTTTCCTCATACAGTGGAAGTGATCCAAAATGCAGTAACAATATTAGCTACAAGAAATGGCTGACATTTTGGAGCTTGTATGACTGCAGGCATTGATATGGACAGAGCACTGCCCCACATCAAGTCTGTTGCATCCATGTAACTCTTCCAGTAATGTATCCATCAGAACACTAACCTTTCAAAAATAGTCTTTCCCCCTGCTTTCATGTGAAAGCTGGATTTTGCACTAGTAACTAAAACCACTCTGGAGAGTAATTTCTTATGCCAGTTCTGTCTAAGCATCGATGATCTTGACCATTAACTCATTCCTTAAATGTGTTTTCTTACAGTTGTTGTGTCTCCACAGGACTGACTTCCATGATGTTGAGAAGAGTCGCTCACGGTGCAAAAGACATATTCACTCTTCTGTTGACAAGATCTCAGAGCTGTAACCCAGGACTGAAGCTTTCATCAGTATGGCCTGACATAACAAACAAAAGCTTCCTAATACATTCCAGTTACACAACTGATACCAAGTCAAAAGAGGAAAATAAAAAAACCCTCGAGAATCTCTACAGTTTGTCAGTTGACATAACTAAGATACGCAGACTGAAGGAATGGGTCCTTCTCCAGGATGTGGCCTATGTTAAAGAAATTGCTGGTATCTTACAGGAAATGGGAGCAGATGAGACCACTGTAGCCAACATTATAGAACGCTGCCCGGAGGCAATTCTTCACACCCCAGCAGAGATAAACTCTCAAAGAGCTTTATGGCAATTAGTATGCCAGAATGAAAAACAGCTGATTAGATTAATAGAACAATTTCCAGAGTCTTTTTTTACTACTGAGTATCAGCAGAACCAGAAGGCAAACATACTATTTTTTCAAGAGCTGGGACTTAAGAATAATATAATCACCAGGTTCTTGACAAGTGCACCCAATATTTTCTATAATCCTGTTGAGAAAAACAAAACTGTGATAGAGACATTACAAAGAAATTATTTAAATTTAGGGGGTTCTGAAGCAAATATGAAGATCTGGATACTGAAGCTATTGAGCCAAAATCCATTTATTTTATTAAATACTTCCACCGCAATCCAGGAGAACTTGGAATTTCTCCAAAAGAATGATTTCACTGACCAGGAAGTTCTACAGCTGCTATCCAAACTTAAAGGCTTCATTTTTCAACTTAATTCTACCACTATGCAGGAGAGTATGCTTTTCTCCAAAAACACCTTCAAGTGCAGTGATCAAGAACTAAAACAACTAGTGCTGAAATGCCCAGCCCTTCTCTACTATTCTGTTCCAGTTTTGGAAGAAAGACTTGAAGGACTATTGAAGGAAGGAATTTCTATAGCACAGATTAGAGAGACACCAATGGTGCTGGAATTGACAACACAAATTGTTCAGTACCGAATTAAAAAGCTCTCTGCATTAGGATATGATATAAAGAGTGGAAATCTAGAAAGCTTGAATGGTACTAAAAAAGATTTTGAAGTCACTTATGGTAAGATACAATCAAAGAAGGAGAGACCAATTTTTAATCCTGTTGCTCCTCTACACATTGAAGATTAATTTGAATGCTGTACTTCAAGTTATGCAAAAGCAAATTAAAAGGGAAGTTGGTTCTTCAAGAAGAGATGGAAGAAAAGCAATCTTAATCAAGACTGTAGTCTTACAGTGTACTTTGTCCAGGAGCGGGTCTTACGCACAACTTCAGTGTACAATTGTAGTATTCTAATGCTTTCAAATAATATCATAGAAGTTACAGTTATGATAAAGGTGGCCTTTTCCTAAGAGTACCTCAGATGTGACATTTTCTTACCTGATGGGGCATTAACTGCCTTAGATTTTCAGCTCTGTCACTGCACAACACCACAGCCCGTGGTACTGATTAGCACAATTTTTATCTGAGGAAGACAAAAGGAGGATTATTATTTTTCCAGCAGTGTTCATCAATCTGCTGGTTCACTGTTTTCAGGAAATGCTCTTGGAGTTCTTTTCCTTATTGCTGAAGTAGCTTTAGCTCCTGGATCCTGACCTGCAGCAAGACTTGATTTCTTGGACAGGAAAGCCCTGTCCTAAGCACAGGGGTGGGACATGATGATTTTCTATTCATTGACTGCTACAGTGAGACTCTAGTATGTTTGTGTACAAACCATAATGCAAAGAAGCTACAAGATAACAACCTTTACATTTCTGAGATTTCAAAATTTACTTAATTCTCAAAAGGTCTGGAACAGGAGGAAATATATTTCTTGCTACTGTATAGTCCTTAATCTCTTCTAGCAAGTGGGTGGCACTGCTTCTCAGATAACACCATATGACAATTGGCGACAAGTGCTGGCTTTCAAAATAGTAACTATCAGACAGTGTTTAAGTTCTCAAGGGATTTGATTTCTTCTCATTTGTGGACTGTGAATGATAATATAAAATAGCAGCATCACTGACAATCATTTCAACAGAATTAGGATCATCAGTGACTTTACTTCTCAGACTTTTTAAAGTAGCTATTCCACACATATTCCCTCTTGACAACAGAATAAAAACCAGCTACACACCGCCCTCACTCCAGGCATTCTTCAACACACATTTTGGCAGCAAGTCCAGGCTTCCATTTCTTAAAATGTGGTTTGTAATTGTTGAAGAAAGCTGGTATTGAATTACTGGTCCAGAGGGTGGGCTGCAAGAATGATGATTTTATAAAGACTGCCACATTATCTGCTGTGCACTGGGAAAGGGCTGGGAACACCTGGTAGGAGCAGTCTCAAGATCTCAGCAGCTGAAGGTCTTACACTGAGCACTCTGCACGCAAGTGCGGACGTGACAGGCGTTTCTGGGGGTAAATACCACTCTTAACAGGAGCACGTGTGACAGTGGCAGGAATTCAAGAAGAGGATGTATCACCATCATGAAAAAAATGAGGCTGTGGTACCAGGCTGTGTCTATGCTGAATCTTTCAAAACACATTATCATTTTTTAAGAGGAAACTGGGAAGACAGCCATATTAAAAATTCACAGGAACTTGCCTTTGTCACTTTCTGACTGTCCTTCTCTGCTCAGCTATTAAGCAGACAATATTAATCTGAATTCAAAAGCCTCCTTCCCCTCAGACACAAAGGAGCATGTCAGCTCTCCAAAGCTCTTACTAACACAACCTGTAACTGAGCCAGCGACCTGATCGGTAGCTTAGGAGGAAAGGAAAATAAGAACAGTATTTTCCCAGAATATTTAGTTCTATCATTTCTACAGGTATCTGTTTCTAAAAAGTTCTTCAAACAGCTTATTCCCATCACTTAAATTATTTCCAGTGGAAACAGAACAGGAAAAGGATGTATTTCCTTAACTAACGCACAGCCTGAGTTATCACAAACTCATTTTGCATTCTGAATGTTTCAGTTTCTCCTCCCCTTTCAAAATAAAAGCATGAGCAGAAATGCTCTTATTCTCTACTACCAGATGAAGTCAGTCAATCCTTCATTCATAACTCTATCCTGGGAACTGTTTCTCTCTTCTCAGGATTCATTTACAATAAAACCTCAGGAAAGCTCCCAGTCACCAAAACACTGTATTGCTGAAGTACTCATCTTTTGTTACTCACAGTGACTGTGGACCAGCCTGTACGTAAGCCTTTCGCTACCTGGAGAGCAGTCAGGCATCCCAGCTGCCTTCATAAACATTTCCCCTTTCGAAACAGGGACTGGGAAAAGGAAAGTGAAATAAAGCTACCACAAAAACAATCCCAAGGCAAAAGAACAACCTCACTCCCCCAGAAAATTTCAGTTCCATATTGCATTCAGCACACTATGACCTTAAACCTGGGTATTCCCAAGCATCGTTGACCAGGGGAAAAGAAAATTAGTGCAAAACATTTTGTGCTGTGTCTGTGCACAGCTTATACACTGAAGTTACAGCTTTTGTTAAGAGCTGGTTGGTACTAAGTAGACACAAATAAAAGACACTCTGGAGTGTGGTACTGTGGGAAGATTTATACCTAAGGTATAAACTTAGGTTGATAAACTAAGGAAGCTTTCAAATGTCTGAAACAGCAACTATTTAATGTTTCACAGGTGCCAGGACAGAACTGGAACAAGTTTTCAAGATGAAGCAAGTTTCATAAGTGAATGGAAAACACACAGGATATAGGACAAAGCTAAGCTCTTTGAAAACTAAAACCATGTTCAGTTACAAGACTCAAAATAATAGCTACAGGATATGTTAAGAACAAAACATAATGAAGTGTTGGCAACTCTTTACATACCTAACATTGCTTATCTCAGACCACACTTGTTTTGCTCCAAGTTTCAAAGTTTAAAATAAAATAATTTAGTAAAAAACATGGATATGACCAGTTCAGCATTTACAGAAAAACTAATAGGAAGAGTTTGGCTGTCACAAATGATCACTATGCTCCAAACAGGTGACTCTTTTAAAAAAAGAGTTCAGTGGCAGCACTTGGGGAATATTGCTACATTGGAAATTGCACGGGAGCAGACTATACTATATTATATGCTGCAGCAAAATTGCCTCTGATATGCAGGCTAGCTCACATCTAGAGCTAACTGGTACCTCTAACAATACTATATTCTATGCAATTTGCTTTTGACCATTAAAAAAATAGTTAAAAGTGTTCTATTTGTTGCATCAACTTACCTCATTACACCCTTGCAGCAGATCAGAACCAAGCAGCTGGTGCATCTAACAGAAGGAGCAGGCACCATTTCTTGGGTTTTTGCTGTTGAAGTACCAATGGCTCAGGAGATTGGGTGACTACAGTACCATAATTGAGACATGGTGTACTTTCAACACCCATGAACAGAGGATTAAGTTTGACAAGTGATATGTTTCAAGTTTTTTTCATTTATAAGAAGTCCCCCTCATATAACCTTCTAGTACAACCACAGCCACTGAAAAAAGTAAGTTACAAGTTCTCCATAGAAACACAAGTTTTTAGAAAATACTGCATACACAACATGAACAGATGCCTTCCATGGGCTTCTAAAGAGGTGACATACTTGGAAAATCACTACACAAATAAAAGATCACAAATGGTTTCTATTTTAAGGCAACCTTGCGTTGTGCCATTACAAGTGCATTTTGCCTCACATGCTGCAGAGGATGTACAGGTATTCCCGTTTGAGGTGTCAACATTTGGAATCTGTCAGTATACAAATTACTTGAATCACGTTTCTTTTTTTTAAGGCCTCATCTACTGTTTTTGGTTTGTTTTAAATACAAGTATTGCATTTTACTCAAAAATCAAAGTGGAAAGTACAAGAAATGTAGCGAAAATTTCCTTGCATTTGCCTAAACAGAGCAAAAAGCTAACCTGGTGTGTCACGGAGTTGAGAGAACAGCTTTGCTAGTTCTTCAGTGGTTTCCAGCTACACAAGAATTCCTAGCAAGTTAGACAGCTGTGCTAGATGACCACAAACATCAGCCCAGTTTCCACAGGCTGTCCTTTTTACTAGCGTCTGTAAGAAGTTCATTAAAAGCAAGGTCTCACTTGTAGGAGATAGATGCATATTATTAAATACACCTGAGATGAAGCAATCACGTTTTCAGTAAAAACAGACAAAGTTTCAGATATAAGGATTTATAAAGAGCCTAAGGCTCATTCTGTGAACTGTACTGAAATGACAGAACAGTTCTTTACACAGCTTCACCTAGTAAAAAGAGATTTTATTCCAGTAAGGCATTAAGATAGTTCACTCTTTCTGAGCCTTTCTACCATGTTGTTAAACTTTTACACTTCTATCTCCCATTCTCATTTCCTATTCCTGCACACCTCCAGTCTCTGCTCCAGTCTTCACTGGCAGAATGCAGTCAGGGATAGTTTACAGGCTGCTTGCAAATACAGGTTCATAACCAAGACTGGGTATGTCCAACAGTGCTTTTACACAGCTGAAGGATCCTTAGCAGGAGGATGTGGAAACCACTGAGAACAGTAATTGGCATCTCGTTGTATCGATGGCATCACAGAGACTACCGAGTTTCTACATTCACATTTTAGTCCAAAACTGCAGAAGACATACAGTAAATAACTATTCAAATACTTATTATTCCTTCAGATACACTCACTTCTATAGTTATCAAGTGTAACATTTCACCAGATACAAAGCTTCAATCTAGGCTCTAATAAATCCTCATACGCTGTGCTAGCCAAGCTTCTTCTGTCCTTTTCAGATGAAATCGAGTTACTTGCACAACTCGTTAGAAGATGAAGTGTCTAAGACACATGGCTTCTCATGGTCCCAATCTTAGCAGATTTTAATGCCACTGATGCAATATTCTGGAGAATTGAGTACGTCTCAGTTTTGGTTTTAGTCGGACTTGTCCTTTTTCTTTCCTGTTAAAGGCACTTTACTTGCAACAGCAGATCCTACAGCTGTAACGCCTCCAGCTACAGCAGAAACACTTCCTTTCACTAGACCTACTCCCACGGAAGGCACAGATGTGACTGCTGTTTTGGTAATTTCCAAGCTCTTCCCTCCAATCCAAGCAACACCCCCAATCGTGGCACCAACAGCTCCCTTTGTGACACTGAAGAGGCCACCAGTCACACGAGAAAGCATGCCAGCCTGCTGCTGCGGGTGGTCTTTGAGTGACCCTAAGGGAAGAAACAACAAGAAAATCAATCTCAGCACCAGAATTTAAGCATTTTCTAAAAAACATTACTCAAAAGTATTTTCTTTTCTAGCCTAACAGCCATTGCACACAGTCTATACTTACCTTGCAGGTCGCTTTTCTTGGATGCTCATACAACACCTAGTTCCAATTAACAAACAAGAGGGAAACCAAGAAAAGAGCAAGTGGAACCACAGTGGGCAGAGCTAGGGAATAAACAGACATGAAATAAAGAGGTAAGGGAGTCAGGAGCAGAAATAAGATGCTTGGAGGACAACTGCTCAAGGAGGCAGCAGGAAAGAAAAACCAGCTGTAGATGCACGGGAGACCTCTGTCTAGCCATGCCAACACAGTGACTTTCCACTGCAACATGCCTTAGGAGAACCAGCAGAACAGGTCTGTCCCCAGCTCCCTCACTGCCCACAACTTGCATCCAGAGCACAGATTCCAAGAATCATGTTCCAGCACCCATATACTACAAGATGAAAACTAGGGTGAGCAATTTTCCATGCACTGCCAATGCATTTGTGATAATGCCAGGACTCGGAATTCATTAAAAAACTGTAAAGGTCAGAGTTCCTATGTGCATACCTGGAATAATTCAAGCAAAAGATGCCACTTAAATGAGAGAATTTCCTAAAAAGTTGACAAGAAGGGAAAATAA